CGCGCTGCCGGCGCGTGTCCCAGCCCCTAGTGTCCGGCTGGCTGGGCGAACACGAGCCGGAGGGAGCCGGGAGCCGCCGGCGCCTCACCCCGCCCCCACGTGCTAACGTCATGAATATTCATGGCCCCGGCTGGGAAGGGAGGACTCAGAGCAGGGCGGCCCCTGGCGGGCCCCGAGGGGAATGCCTGGGCCCTAGGAGCAGTGCAGGAGAGCGCCCTGGAAATGATTCATCCAGGCCCCCAGCCTGGCAGGGGATCCCCCCCACCCCGGGAGCCGCCGGCGCCTCACCCCGCCCCCACGTGCTAACGTCATGAATATTCATGGCCCCGGCTGGGAAGGGAGGACTCAGAGCAGGGCGGCCCCTGGCGGGCCCCGAGGGGAATGCCTGGGCCCTAGGAGCAGTGCAGGAGAGCGCCCTGGAAATGATTCATCCAGGCCCCCAGCCTGGCAGGGGATCCCCCCCACCTGAGCCAATTCATTTCATGTGCAGGGGGAGCTACTGAACCTGCCTGAACCCCCCAAACAGCACCCCACGGCCCGCCTTGGGGCCAAGCTCAGCCCCTCAGGCCGGGCAGGGGGGCACTGAGCCCACAGGGCCTGGGACAGGGACAGCAGCAAGTAAGAGAGACCAGGGAGCCCTGGGCCGGTTTGGGGCCACTAAACAGAGGAAAAACAGTCCTGCAGCACCTTAGCGACTAACAAAACACGTATCTGGCATCATGAGATTTGTGGAACAATAGCTGGAGCCTGTGCTAAACTAGCTCCCAGATAGGGGAGGCCAGGAATGAGATAGCATGAGTTCTGTATTTAGCAAATTACAACTAAAAGACTAGAAAGCTGAACTCTGCCTTCCTCTCCCCTTGTAGCCCTAGTCTACTCACAAGCAAAGACTGGCTAGTTCAGATGCAGCCTTCCTGGGCAGGTGCTAGTGCTAATTAGCTGGCAATGCTGCAGCATAAAGCCATGAAGGAGAAGGCAGGACATCTTTCAGTGGAAAACAAACACACAGGGAGGAGAGGAATTGTTCTCCTTGTCCTCTGATAGTAGGACAAGAAGCAAGGGGCTTAAACTGCAGCAAAGGAGATTCAGGTTGGACATTAGGAAAAACTGCCTATGTATCAGGGTGGTTAAACACTGGAATAAATTGCCCAGGGAGGTTGTGAAATCTCCATCACTGGAGATATTTAAGAACAGATTAGACAGACACCTGTCAGGGATAATCTAGGTGGTGCTTGGTCTTGCCATGAGGGCAGGGTACTAGACTTGAAGGTCTCTCAAGGTCCCTTCCAGTTCTAGTGTGCTATGATTCTACAAGTAGTCCCATTTTTCCTAGAGAAGTCTTAGCTTACTGGGACAAAATGAACTTTTTGGTGACCTGTGCTGAAGATAAAGTTATTACTGGTGTGCAGTGTAAATTTCCTAGACTGATAATGCTCTGGGTCAGTAACAAGTTTTCTAGAAAAACTTAGACTGTTGGTGTTAAGATTCTATAGGACCAACCAAGAAATCTATAGATGTCATGAACTATGGGCACAAGCTGCTTCTTCCGAAGACAGTTTTCTCAGGAAGAAATGAGAGAGATGCCCTCAAGTCTGCTTGCAGATGTTTTCAGAGGAAAGGTCTGCAAGCATCTCACTGCCGGAGCCTAAACAAACCCCTGGCTGCTTCATACAGCCTCCTTACTTACGGTATTAGTGTTAAACTTAAAAAACAAATAGTATGTGTTGTTTAAGTTTTTCCTGTAGTGACTAACTCTGCTACCCCTCTGAAGTATTAGTGTTAACACTCATGAGAAGCTTAACCTTCCTCCTACCAAACAAACTCTAAAGACCTCATCTAGTGGTGAAGATACTTGAGAAGATACTGGGACACCCCCCATAATATGGCAATTACACAAGACTTTGTTTTAATGCCACAGAGTCTGGTTTTTCTTCCAGAAAAATAAATTAACATTTTATTTCGTATCAGACAGCAGGAGAAGTCCGCCTCCAGTAACAAAGCAGCATGGATTAAATTAACATTTTATTTCGTATCAGACAGCAGAAGTCCACCTCCAGTAACAAAGCAGCATGGAAGAGGCTGTTCCAGTACAAGGGTTCTGCTAATGCTCTAGTGAATGATTCCCAAAGTCTCTGGTCAGCAGCAACTCATGAGGCACTGGGGCTCTGGTAAGCACTCGGAGTCGCTCGGATAAACGTCACGTCCTGTCTGTACTTCATGGCAATGGGCAGCTGGCGCCGAAGCAGCTGGTCCCCTCTGTCCACGGGTTGGGGCTCATCGTAGACTGTGGAGATGAGGAGTGGGCCGTCCCGGCGACGCTTTTTTGGCTTGCTGAAAGTCTGCAGCTTCTCTCCGTGGTACCTGTGGAGGAGTGGGCAGAGAGCAGGGTTTGGTGCATTACTGGCGGACCAGAGAAATCCCTCTACTCTAGCTTGTATTTACCAAATGCTAATAAAAGGAAGAGGCTCACGTTGGAGCATGAGGACCAGGACCTCTAGGGCTAGTGCCACTCGCATGGCTCCAAAAGGAACAGATACCCCTCTTGCAGGCCATTAGGAGGCATGTGTGTAAAGCATTTGAAGACCCTCAGATGCAAGGAGCGCTGAAAGCGCAGACTCAGCCAGCTCAAGCTTATGCCTGAACTGCTTCAAACTCAAAGCTGAGACAGATAGTTTATGGTGCTCTCTGGGTCTTCACATAGCATCTGTACACGGATCGCCCTGGATCTGCCAAAAAGGTACTGTAGGTATCATCCTGCTGGCTGTGCAGCACTTCAGCTCCCAAAACTATGCACGCCCCATCACCACTGTTACGAGCCATGTTGGTTTCAAGCTCCCCTATAAAGGGAGCAACACAGCTTCTTAAGCTTTGACGGGACCATTACATGTCTTGGAGGACTGCTGAAGCAGAAAAGAGAGGGACGAAAACGGAGGACTGGTTTGATCTTACTTGAGCTGCACAGCCAGGAGCATGTTCTATTCACATCTAGATGGCACAAGGTGGCTCTAATACTCACATCAAGCCTACCTGTAGAGGCTGCCTCACAGCCCCGGACATTCCCTCCAGTTCAACTCCTCAGGTACACACCTTTAGTTGTCAGTTACCTACTATATTTCCTCTTCATGTATGGAGCCTTCAAGTGGCATTGGCCACAAGCTGAAGACACCAGGGGTTTGCTTCACTTACCCCAATCCTCTCTTGCATCTGGGATGCTGACCATCGCTGTCCAATGCTTCAGCCATTCCAGAGTTGCTGCTCCCTAGACCCAGTCCCTCCATCCAGCCCTGCCTCTCCATCACCTTCCTGCCAATGCCCTGGAAGAGAAGAAATCCTTGCATGTAAACCAGCATCAATCCTGGGAGTGAGTGGGCCAAGTTATTACACACAGAGGACAGTGTCACATTAAGGAATCAACTAGCACTTTATAGACTAACAAAACATGTTGATGGGATCGTGAGCTTTCGTGGGCACAGCCCACTTCTTCGGATGACTGGAGTTTTAAACTCAGACTCCAGTCATCTGAAGTGGTTTATGCCCACGAAAGCTCATGATCCCATCGACATGTTTTGTTCATCTATAAAGTGCTACCAGACCATTTGTTTTTTCGTGTAGACGAACTCGGCTACCCCCTGAAGATTAAGGGATCAGGGCTTCATGCTTTTTGCAGTTGTTAGATGCATTTCTAAAGCCTCCAACCTGCCCACTAGGCTACTACCTAAAACCCAGCTCCATGATACCTTCACTTTTATGGAGATTCAGAAGTACCTTTGGAAAGCAATTCCCCCCCTCCCAAGAGAAAGATAGTTTGCTAGTTAGGCCAAGTCCTGTATTTCTCTGTTGTTTCAAGCCTCCACAGGCCAACTCATTTGCCTCCAACCCAGATACCACAAGCAGCCCATTTTCTAGTGTGTCCTGTGGTTTGATTTATTTTAGATCCAAGGGAAACCAGAACACTCCAGAGAGACTGAACCACTTATTTACTGCAAGCTTTAACAAGCCTTAAAAGCAATTACTATACAATTTAAACCTTAAATACTATAAATTCTAAAGCAATTAATATAGCACAAAGCAATGCAAAAGCAATTAACAGAAGATCTACTATAATACAATAATAAAGCCTAGGTCACTTACACTTCACCTGTATGCTACCTACAGTACCAGGCAGGAGGAAGTGGTTCCTTTGATTCCCACGTGTTGGAACGCCGTGCACTGGGTCAGCAGTGTGAAGGGCCTATTTACTTCTTATTACACGTAGCAGGACCTATGGGTCAATCCTGCCCATTCCCTCCCATCGATTCCTCTTACTAAGCCCATTTTATAGCAAAGCAAAATTTGGTCGTTCTAATAATATTTACCAATTGATTACATATTGTGTAAGATACAGCCACTCCCCGACTTATGGCCACCTCCACTTACGACCATCCGCACTTACAACCAAAGCGGTCATAAATGCGGATCCGAGTTACAAACGGCAGTCCGCGCTTATGAACAGCATGGTCACCATGTAACTATGAGATCTGAGTTATGAACACTTCGAGTTACGGACCAAGTGTTGGTTTGTAACTCGGGGAGTGGCTGTACTTAAAATGCCCAATGCCCCTATTTGGGGTATATCCTGCTACTCAGGAGGTTGCCTAAAACTACGTGCATAGTTAATTTTTGCACATCAGAAACAGAAGTACCAGTACAAGGTTGATAGCCAAGTATCTGACGTGGTCTCACTGTACTGCTTAGTCTGCATTGTTATGCAAACATTCCTCCCTCTCAAAGCTTCTCCCTTGACCTTGCCTGCGTGCTATATGCACCAGACTTGCGACAGGCCTAGGTTTTGCTTTTTAGAGATCTGCACCATAGTAAGACAGACATCACCATTGATTGTCCAGGCAGGGTCGTCCAGGCTCCGCCACAGTCTTACCTTGGTGTATTTCTCAAAGGTCCCAATCTGGTGCCCTGAAACAGACCCATCCTCCAAGCCATCCCGGAGTCTCTGCTCCAAGCGCATCTGTATAGCGTCGCGGGCATCTTTATCACCGCCATCTGAAGAGGAACAAGAGAAAAATAAGGAAGGGAGGAGAGAAGAGCTGCTAGGAGCTTCCTTTGCCAAGTCAGGCCAAAATAGTTGGAGCAACATTCCTGTTATTTCTCGTGTAATTAGCTTAAGGCGAGCAACCTGGCAGCACATTGAGAGGAAGGTTCCTGACTCCAACTAGGATTTAAGAGAAGCCAGATTTGAACAAGGACATTTCATTAGTTTCAGAGACCAGCTCATTTGTGTGAAGTTGGAGCATTCGCTTGCAATGCTGGAAATCCAACAGCTTCATTCTATAGTGCAGAAACCAAGACTGAGGAGAACAGGGTAAAGCTGGTTCACTAGTCTGGCAGTCCCAAGCAGAACATCTTGCTAAGTGGCCAACTATGCTCAGAGTTTTAAAATTTCTTCTTTTAATATTCGCTGGTGCTTATCCTGGGAAGGTTTAGCATCCCATCTTCTAGGGACCAGACTTTTCAGTCCTGAACTGTTCAAAGATCCCTGCCTATTTGAACTCACTAGAGCTCTCAACTCCACTTAGCAGTCATATCCCTTGGGACCCTACAGGAGCCCGGTGGAGAAGCGGCCATGCTTCGTCACACTCCTGGTTCTAGAGACTCTAGACATGTGAACATATCTCCTTGAAAAGCAGCCCCAAGGGGAGTGCAATGACTCCAGCTGCCGGGCTGCCACCGCCTGTCCCTGCAGGCGATGGCCCATTTCAGCACCGATACCTTTGTCGTAGTAGATGCTCATGTCCACATCCCAGTCATCTGCCGTCTGCTCGTCAAAGTCTGTTGAGAGAAAACGGTTCATGGAATTAGATAAAAGATCTGTGTCATGGGCGCAGCTTTTCTGTCCAGGGCACAGCCCACCTGCCAGCACAGCAGGGTAAGTGTGTTAATAGCCATAAGCAGTGCTGTTGTGACTGATTGGCAGATCAAGAGGGCTACAAGGTGGGTGAGGTAATATTGTTTATTGCCCTCACTTCTGTGGGCAAGAGAAGTTTCGGAGTTTACATAGAACCCTTGTTCTGGTCACAAGAGCTTCTTCAGACCTGACTTGAGGATCAGCTCTGTGTAAGCGCCAAAGTTTTTCTCTCGTCAGTGTTATCGGACATTTGGGGTGGGGTAGGGGGGTCTGCAGAAAGGGCATGCTGCTGATGGGCATTCTGAGCCTCATCTTCAGCACAGAATCAAATCCAGCCCCCAGATTCAGGGTGTCTGATGGTTAAGTGTCCCAGACAGCGGTGCAGTGTTGGTATCCACAGAGATGTTACAGCACTCACCACTAGCTATTTGGTATGATACCTGTTGGGCCCATTTTTGAAAACTGAGCCTCAAATCTCATTATTCCCTAGTGCTTAGTCAGTAGTTTATGAAACCAGAATTAGCTCACAGCTGCAGTGCCTAGGGACACATGTTCACCTCCAAAAAACTTCAGCCACCAATTCCAATAAGAGTGCTAGTTCTCAGACCAAGAATTCTGAATGGACATTGAAGACAGGCCACCCTCTCATCCCTTGCAGTAGCTCTCCAGCTCCAGGAGCACGTTGGAGGGGAGGAAACCTGCATTGCTTTTTGCTCATGTTGGAGACGGTCTCCAGGTGCATCCACACCATGGCAGTAAGCTTTCTAAAAGTATTCAAAAGCCTCAGGACTTGAAGGTACTTTGAGGGTCTGGCTCCTATAAACTCCTTAGGAGCACATCATCTTCCATGTGAGGCACTGTGGACCAGTTGTTGACCATGTAGATGACCAACTAGATATAAGAAAGGACCCTTCCTACAAACTGCAACTTCTTTCCAATCGGTTTTGAAGTTTGTCTAACTTGATTTCTACAAAACATACCCACAGCTTCTCCAGACTTACTGGTACAATTTGCGATCAAAGCCTTCCACAGAGCACTGGATTATCAGACAGCTGGTGAAGGTTCGTACAACTGAGCCCGTGGTAAAAGATGTTCACATTTTGATAACACTGCACAAGACAAACCTCCCTCACAAGAAGTCATGAGCAATATTACCTCCTTGCTCTTCCTGCCAGTACTGAGCATCTGTGTAGAAGACCAGCCCAGAACCTCCCTTCTCCCACTTCAGCTCAATCTCCTCTTCATACAGCCGCTCCTTTGTGCGCTCCTGGCTGGTTACATCCTCATGCAGAGCCTCATGGCGCTCCCACTCTTCACACCTATCATCATCCTGCAAAGGAGCAAGGGAAAAGCTGATCTCAATGAAGCAATGGCACTTGGTGAGACCCAGTCTCCCATCATTCCGTCCTGCCCCCCACATTACAGTTGCCCCACAGAAGAGATAGAATGCACTGACTAAAATGTATTTCAGATTCAATTACCAGGACAGCTGGTGAAAGTTTAATTCTCACATCCCCTCTCACCCATTCCCATGCAAGAATCGTTTTACGAGTAAGGAAATGGAAGCAAAGCACCATAACTTGCCACATGCAAGTTCGTCAAAGCAGAGGTGGGTATTTAAAAGTTGCAGCTTCCTGCTCCTATGTTCAGGATTCCATGACAAACCCATCAGAAAGAACACACTGCCTACCACATCAGCAGCTTACCAAAGAGAACCAGTTTTGGTGAAAAAACAAAGTTCATAGAATCATAGATAGCACTTCAAAGCTAAGAGTAGAGTCAGTTCTCAAATACAAAATACTGGCTGTATGGTGCTGTTACGTGGTACACGGGTAGATATCAGCTCCCAAGAAAGCAGCAACATCCCCTCCATGCTGTTCGCAATTATATAGTTAGTCCTGCACAGTGCTTTTTTTGTAAGAAAAAAGGTGCCAGTACTCCGGGGCAGAGTTGTTGAGAAAAAGAAAGGGAAAAAAAAAACTGTTTTGGGAGCCAAAAATGCAGTCCCAGCCCCTTTAAAGCCCAAAACGCCACACTAGGAGCCCCCCTCCCCCCTTCCAAAAAAACACACCCACACACCCCAAAAAACACTGCATGTCCCAAGCAGCCTTTTGTCAGAAGTTGAGCCGCCCCAGGAAAACAGGCGCTGGTACACATGGGGAAAATGCCATTCTTTTTCTGTGTGCTGGGAAAATAGGTGATGGTACGCAGTTTTGGGCTGTACCCACCCTCCCCTCCAAAAAAAAAAAAAACCCACCACCACACACACACAAGCAGCGCAGCACTGGTCCTGCAATTTGACAGGAGAAAACCACTTACATCATCTGAGTGAGACTCTTCTGCTTCTTCCTCCCTTGGTCCTTCCCTGTCTTCCTCATCGCTAGTTTGAGACCCAGTTCTTGCCAGGGTTCCCTTTTCCATTGTGATCTCCTCTCCCGTGTCTGTATAAACCAGCTCTTCTTGTTCAACAGTCTCAGTGTCCTGGTAATTAAAGGGCACATTCCCGTACCTGCGAGAGGATCCTGTCTTGGGGAACCGTAGCTGCAGTTTCTTAATAATTGGGGGAGGCAGTCTGCAGGCCTTGATCAGCTCCAGGAAGACTCTCACAGGGGTTCCCACATTCCCCTGGGGCATGAACACAGGGGGGTTCAGTTCAGGCAACCACTTTAAGTCTGCCTCGGTAAAGGTTTCACTCTGTGTCTTATAAAGTTCCTTTTTAGTTTTATACTGGAACATGTTCACATCTAAAAGAAATAGAGAGTGGATTAAGACAATCACAGATGAAGAGTGCAGTTTTACCAGCCCTCTGAGACAGACCAAGAAAGGGAACCTGCAATGCAAGTTTTTAGTATGATATAAGGCAGGGTGCTGTTGCAGTCTGAGAATTAAGCTATGAAAGTAGTATGTTGACTAAAAAAAATGTGAACAGCCATTTCTTTCAAGTTTTTATACGCTTATACCAATAGCAAGATAGCACTGTTTTATGCAGCAGGCACAACAGACTTGTTTCTGGCATTCAGCTACTCAAGGCATAATCAGGATCTCATACTTTGAGGGGATCAATTGCTTTTGTGAATTGCCAAGTCCAATTACATCAGGTATCTATTGTTCAGAGCTCTGCGCCAGGTGAGCTTTCATACTGTGTCCCCAGAACAATGTCATTTGTATTCGCTCATAAATTTGAAGCGTATTCCTAGAAACACACTTAAAGTTACCGTGAATTAACGTATATAACCCGCAGTGGAGTATAACCCGCAGATTTTCCTGACTCCAGCTCCAGGAGCACGTTGGAGGGGAGGAAACCTGCATTGCTTTTTGCTCATGTTGGAGACGGTCTCCAGGTGCATCCACACCATGGCAGTAAGCTTTCTAAAAGTATTCAAAAGCCTCAGGACTTGAAGGTACTTTGAGGGTCTGGCTCCTATAAACTCCTTAGGAGCACATCATCTTCCATGTGAGGCACTGTGGACCAGTTGTTGACCATGTAGATGACCAACTAGATATAAGAAAGGACCCTTCCTACAAACTGCAACTTCTTTCCAATCGGTTTTGAAGTTTGTCTAACTTGATTTCTACAAAACATACCCACAGCTTCTCCAGACTTACTGGTACAATTTGCGATCAAAGCCTTCCACAGAGCACTGGATTATCAGACAGCTGGTGAAGGTTCGTACAACTGAGCCCGTGGTAAAAGATGTTCACATTTTGATAACACTGCACAAGACAAACCTCCCTCACAAGAAGTCATGAGCAATATTACCTCCTTGCTCTTCCTGCCAGTACTGAGCATCTGTGTAGAAGACCAGCCCAGAACCTCCCTTCTCCCACTTCAGCTCAATCTCCTCTTCATACAGCCGCTCCTTTGTGCGCTCCTGGCTGGTTACATCCTCATGCAGAGCCTCATGGCGCTCCCACTCTTCACACCTATCATCATCCTGCAAAGGAGCAAGGGAAAAGCTGATCTCAATGAAGCAATGGCACTTGGTGAGACCCAGTCTCCCATCATTCCGTCCTGCCCCCCACATTACAGTTGCCCCACAGAAGAGATAGAATGCACTGACTAAAATGTATTTCAGATTCAATTACCAGGACAGCTGGTGAAAGTTTAATTCTCACATCCCCTCTCACCCATTCCCATGCAAGAATCGTTTTACGAGTAAGGAAATGGAAGCAAAGCACCATAACTTGCCACATGCAAGTTCGTCAAAGCAGAGGTGGGTATTTAAAAGTTGCAGCTTCCTGCTCCTATGTTCAGGATTCCATGACAAACCCATCAGAAAGAACACACTGCCTACCACATCAGCAGCTTACCAAAGAGAACCAGTTTTGGTGAAAAAACAAAGTTCATAGAATCATAGATAGCACTTCAAAGCTAAGAGTAGAGTCAGTTCTCAAATACAAAATACTGGCTGTATGGTGCTGTTACGTGGTACACGGGTAGATATCAGCTCCCAAGAAAGCAGCAACATCCCCTCCATGCTGTTCGCAATTATATAGTTAGTCCTGCACAGTGCTTTTTTTGTAAGAAAAAAGGTGCCAGTACTCCAGGGCAGAGTTGTTGAGAAAAAGAAAGGGAAAAAAAAACTGTTTTGGGAGCCAAAAATGCAGTCCCAGCCCCTTTAAAGCCCAAAACGCCACACTAGGAGCCCCCCTCCCCCCTTCCAAAAAAACACACCCACACACCCCAAAAAACACTGCATGTCCCAAGCAGCCTTTTGTCAGAAGTTGAGCCGCCCCAGGAAAACAGGCGCTGGTACACATGGGGAAAATGCCATTCTTTTTCTGTGTGCTGGGAAAATAGGTGATGGTACGCAGTTTTGGGCTGTACCGTCACCCTCCCCTCCAAAAAAAAAAAAAACCCACCACCACACACACACAAGCAGCGCAGCACTGGTCCTGCAATTTGACAGGAGAAAACCACTTACATCATCTGAGTGAGACTCTTCTGCTTCTTCCTCCCTTGGTCCTTCCCTGTCTTCCTCATCGCTAGTTTGAGACCCAGTTCTTGCCAGGGTTCCCTTTTCCATTGTGATCTCCTCTCCCGTGTCTGTATAAACCAGCTCTTCTTGTTCAACAGTCTCAGTGTCCTGGTAATTAAAGGGCACATTCCCGTACCTGCGAGAGGATCCTGTCTTGGGGAACCGTAGCTGCAGTTTCTTAATAATTGGGGGAGGCAGTCTGCAGGCCTTGATCAGCTCCAGGAAGACTCTCACAGGGGTTCCCACATTCCCCTGGGGCATGAACACAGGGGGGTTCAGTTCAGGCAACCACTTTAAGTCTGCCTCGGTAAAGGTTTCACTCTGTGTCTTATAAAGTTCCTTTTTAGTTTTATACTGGAACATGTTCACATCTAAAAGAAATAGAGAGTGGATTAAGACAATCACAGATGAAGAGTGCAGTTTTACCAGCCCTCTGAGACAGACCAAGAAAGGGAACCTGCAATGCAAGTTTTTAGTATGATATAAGGCAGGGTGCTGTTGCAGTCTGAGAATTAAGCTATGAAAGTAGTATGTTGACTAAAAAAAATGTGAACAGCCATTTCTTTCAAGTTTTTATACGCTTATACCAATAGCAAGATAGCACTGTTTTATGCAGCAGGCACAACAGACTTGTTTCTGGCATTCAGCTACTCAAGGCATAATCAGGATCTCATACTTTGAGGGGATCAATTGCTTTTGTGAATTGCCAAGTCCAATTACATCAGGTATCTATTGTTCAGAGCTCTGCGCCAGGTGAGCTTTCATACTGTGTCCCCAGAACAATGTCATTTGTATTCGCTCATAAATTTGAAGCGTATTCCTAGAAACACACTTAAAGTTACCGTGAATTAACGTATATAACCCGCAGTGGAGTATAACCCGCAGATTTTCCTGATGGTGTAGAAAAAGTCTTAGATAACCCATGGACAAGTATAACCCACGGATTCTATATGCTAATTCCCGATGATTGCACATACCAGCTGCCAGTGGGGGGGGAATGGAGAGCACAGTGCAGGCGCGCTGGCCAGCCTGCGGGAGGGGAGCCAGTCACCCGTAGGCCCCACGCAGCTACAGCCAGGTGCAACCCACCCTCCTCCGGGTGGGGGAATAGAGAGCACAGCACAGGCGCACTGGCCGGCGTGCGGGAGAGGAACCACACTCGCTCTCAGGCCCTGCGCAGCCGCAGCCAGGCGGGAATGGAGAGCACAGCGCAGGCTTGAGAGTAAAAATAAATGTGTATACCCTATGGGGTGTATGTAAAAACGTGTACAACCCGTGGGTTATAGACGCTAATTTTCGGGTATGTCCAGGCTACTTTTTTTTTGCTTTTGGAGGATGGATGAGTTTTGTAATTGCAGCTCAGCAACCCCTCTATCATTCTTCTACCCTTTTTACTTCCCTCTGGTATCTTTGCTGTGAATATCAGCCTTCCATCCTCAACAGTCAGCCTCACAAGGAAGACCATTAGCCATTCAGAGGAGAGAATCGGCGAGCTGCATAAAAATTCCCCCACCACCTCTAATCCACCCAGGCTCCTACAAGCCTAGGAGGCAAACCACTTTCCTGGGCTGGTGGGAAATGGGAGAAGATTCCTCTCCCATCAGTATAGTCCTGCAAATCCATGTACCTACATATGTAGAGGCAAACAGCTGTAACTAGTTTTTTGCAGATAGGGACGTGGGTACCAATTTTGTATGGACTCTACCCAGAGTAAGAACCGCTCCCTAACAGGCTCTCCCCTGCAGCCACCACCAAGCCCTCCCTCCCAGCCTCATAACTAGCTATGTTTGTTCCCAGGGCAAAATATTAATTGCATACCCCCCTCTCCTTAGGTTAGCACACGGCACGCTCTTTACTTTGCAGCTTATTATTTTTACTTAATGCATCTTTGCGCCCCTGATTATGATGCGCCCAAGGCGAGTGGCCAACTTAGAACATAAGAACGGCTGTACTGGGTCAGACCAAAGGTCCATCTAGCCCAGTATCCTGTCTGCCGACAGTGGCCAGCACCAGGTGCCCCAGAGAGGGTGGACCGAAGACAATGATCAAGCGATTTGTCTCCTGCCATCCCTCTCCAGCCTCTGACAAACAGAGGCCAAGGACACCATTTTATCCCCTGGCTAATAGCCTTTTATGGACCTAACCTCCATGAAATTATCTAGCTTCTCTTTAAACTCTATCATAGTCCTAGCCTTCACAGCCTCCTCTGGCAAGGAGTTCCACAGGTTGACTACGCGCTGTGTGAAGAACTTTCTTTTATTAGTTTTAAACCTGCTCCCCATTAATTTCATTTGGTGTCCTCTAGTTCTTCTATTTAGGGAAATCCGCCTTTGTCACAGGCCTGCCCCCTGCCCATACCGCCCCCAAAGAGCCCCCCGCTCCCCGCTCTGCGGCCCCCCCTGCCTGCTTCCGGGGAGACTCGGACCCTGCGGATCACGCAGCGGCCAGGCAGCGCGTCGCCCTGGGCGTCCAGCCAGCGCTTGCCCGAGTACATGCGGATCAGC